CTCAAAGATTACGTTCTTTGCGGGTGTGAAGTATTGCTCCAGTGCCACCAGTATAGCACCCGCATCTTTTTGTTGGTCCGCGGTGAGTCCCAGGTTGTGTTTGTAAACATGTCGGCAGTCGTTCCCCATTAGCCTCCTGAGCGCAGCTGCTTGTACCGGCTTTACTTTCTCGCTGAGCCCGGTCGCAAGCAGATAATCCTCAAATTCTGCTCGAAAGCTCACCCAGTTGCCGTGGATGTCCCCCGCCATCTTCATAGGCTCCGGAGGTGGGATGCTGGATGCCATTGTTCCAACGTGACGCTAATGCTAACAGGCTAACTGAAACTGCTAAACCTCACCAAAACAAATAAACGCACTCTGTCTCAGCGACGGACAGTAGCATGCAATCCACAGCTGGGTCCTATTTGAGCTTCTGACACCATGTTTGTAGATGTGCATTAATAAACAAGGCAAGTCAGGCTGTGTCTCAACGCCGTGTATTCACACTGAGCAGGCAAGAATACAACGGAGGGATATTACATGAGGCAGATATATATAACACAGGCACAATACGTCCACAGGGTGGAGCTGCAACCTAGCCTAAACCACCCTGTAACAGGTATTTTGAGTGGGGATGCTGAGGTGCTGGACTCCAGTGAACACTATTACGGGCACTATAGAGCACGCACAAAAGCACTCCCCACACGCAAACACACAGTACACCCGCGACTGTTACAATGAAGGCTCGATAATCAGCTCACGGCATATGGGGTAAAGTGCTATTTTTTACGAGTGGGGAGCGGACCTGACCTCCTCTAGGGGGGTCCGGGGGGATGCTCCCCCGGGAAGATTTTTTTTAAATATTGAAGTTAAAAGCATCAATCTGGTGCACTTTGAGAGCAACATTAAGAGATCTATGGATACATCTCTCAACACCCAGATGAAACACAACTGTAAGCAGATGTTCTTTTTCTTTATGGATATTTTACAAATCATTCCCCTTTCAAACTGTATTCTTGTTTTACTGCCATATAGTATTTCATAACTGTTTTTCCTTTATTCTCTTATTTTTTTTTATAACGATAATGATCATATGAAGGTGTGCCGCGGAAATAATCTTTTGAATAATTTGTGACCAAACCGTTTGAGACCCACTGAGATAACTTAGACTAAAGTTAACTATATAAACACTCACCTCACCTGAGCCTCTCAGTCTGAGAGGAGAGCTCTCCTCCAGTTTGTTGTGGAACCAACAGCTCCGTATGTCCGTTAGTACAGCTAGCTAACCAGATGCTAACAACACGGTCCCTGCTGCTGGCACCGGTCCCTCTCTCTCTCTCTCTCTCTCTCTCTCTCTCTCTCTCTCTCTCTCTCTCTCTCTCTCTCTCTCTCTCTCTCTCCCTCTCTCACACACACACACTAAATGCGCTATTTCCGCACACACACAAAGCCGAGCTTGAATGACACAAGCACACTTTTATTTCCATGCAACTCTCTGATTGGTCTGGTGTCTTGCCTCTGTTGCATTCACTGAACACGGGAAATTACAGTTCTGTCGTCCTCTAGTGTCTTGATGAGGTTCACGTAAAGCACGGTTAATGTATTATATTATGGAGGTAGAATTGTCCGGGGCTACAGAAACAACATTCGGGGCAGGCCAAAATATTATTTTACCAACAATGTGGAATTTATTGGCTACATATTACACAGATTATGCACAGCGGGAGCAGCAATAACCATCAAATAATAATTCAGACAGGGGAGCTCCGCACCCCCTGCCTGCCGCTAGGGGGTGCTGCAGTGCCCTCAGCACCCCCCTTCCCGCGCCCATGTAAGGAGCTGTTTCAATGAAAACAGAGGAGTGACATTTCGCCGACAACTGCGCCGAGCACTTGACTTTATGCAGGAAGCCAGACAGTGGGACATTGTACGAAAAGTCAGCACACTCAGCACGGATAGTGCGCGCAACATGATTGCAGCGTCCAGGCAGCTCCCGTTCGAGCATATGCCTTGAGTTGCACATAGCTCCAACGAGCCAGTCACACACACACACACACACACACACACACACACACACACACCACACACACACACACACACACACACACACACACACACACACACACACACACACACACACACACACACACACACACCACACACACACACACACACACACACACACACACACACACACACACACACACACACACACACACACACACACACACACACACACACACACACACACACACACACACACACACACACACACACACACACACACACACACACACACACACCACACACACACACACACACACACACACACACACACACACACACACACACACACACACACACACACACACACACACACACACACACACACACACACACACCACACACACACACACACACACACACACACACACACACACACACACACACACACACACACACACACACACACTTTGTATTGTATTATTGTATGAGAGAGGTTCCAGGTTGAATTGAGGCGAATATTTGTAATGTTCAGAGGTTGTTGTGTTTAATATTCATGAGAATATGTGTCATTGTTCAAATGATAATAAACATTAGAATAAAGCATATTTGTCCACTCATATGTTGATAAGAGTATTAAAAACTTGAAAAATATTCCTTAGGTACATTTAGAACAGATAAAAAATGTGCGATTAATTTGCGATTAATCGCGATTAATATGGACAATCATGCGATTAATCGCGATTAAATATTTTAATCGACTGACAGCCCTATAAACAACGTAATTAATTTAAAAAAAACATGAAGTTACTGATACCGTCCACTACATTACATTACATTACATTGCATTTAGCTGACGCTTTTATCCAAAGCGACTTACAATAAGTACATTCGACCAGGAAGACACAACCTTGAAGAAAACAGAATCATATAAGTACATCAGGTTTCATAGAGCCAAACATTTCAAGTGCTACTCAACTGGCTTTAGGTAAGCCAGTCCTTTATTAGTATAAAAGTGCTTCGTTAATAGTTCTAACGCTCGAAGTGGACTCTAGTAGACTCCTAGTTACGTCGCGAGCTGCGTACATGATTTCAAATACCGCAAAATAATCTGTGACGCGTGTGTATTGTGTTTGTTTCCCGGGGAAACAAACAAGAAACACCGGCTGTTGTTATGCCTGCTGTGACGTTAAATTACCGCTTGTAATTATGCCTTTACAAGCTTAAAAGTTGTATTTATCATCTGAATTTGGCGAAACAAGTTTAATATTCTAAAAACCAAGACTTTGTTTATTTTAAATCAGATGAAAACAAACTGTCACGGACCCTGCCGTGTTATCTATGATTACTATACGCTTTTCATTCATAATTTCAGCGGGAGGGAGGGGGAGCGGCGCTGAGTGCGGGTTGACAGGTGTCTGTGTTGACATTCCCCTTATTGTGGAATAAGGGGAATGCAGAGACAGGCTACAAGTGTCTTAGGTTCAAGTTAGACAACTAATGTCTGGGTTAGTGTTCATGACTTCATGTTTATGTCATCTTAATGGTTAATCTCAATGCACACACATTTTCCGTGCTTTCCAATAGTTTAAAATAGTTTTATTCCACTGTTAAATAAGCTGTTCAATACAAACATGCCACTTTTAAAAATGTAATAAAATTTCTGTGAACTGATATTTGTTTAGTGAGCTTATTAGAGGAGGTTCCCTGAAAGATTGTAAAATATCAATGAAGATGTCAGACTTAGTATATTTGTTAATAATTACATACAACACATCAAATGTGTGTGTGTATGTGTGTGAGTGTGTGTGTTCCAAGTGAATCTGCATAAATTATGTGGCCCCCACCACCATCGAAGTTGCCCATCCCTGCCAACCGATATGAAAAGATTTGTTTTTTATTGAATGTACAGACAACGGCCTTGTTTGACCAGAGTGTAATGACAGCAGAGTCATGGTTTGTCTGCATTTTCATTCATAAGCCACAATCAAACCACAAAGTATGCTTATAAGGTTGACTGACAACAGAGAAATAATTAAATGAGAGCATCTAAACAGAGAGTGGGTAGTTGATGAAGGGTAGGAAAGCACTTGATGGAGGTTTCATTTGGCAGCTATCAACCTTTATTGTTAGCTGAACTAAAGTGGAAGAAAGAAAATTGAATACTAGAATTTCAAAAGCTCCTGTCAGAACTGTATTGACAGCTTTTACCAATAAAAGAGCAGCTTAACAATACTTCACTATTTATAATGAAGAAACACAACTGAAAGGCATTCACCTTTTTGCATTTCACATTGTGTTTCCATGTCATATTTTAGATTTATGCTAATTTTGGGTTGCCCTTTTTGTTGATTAGTTTGCAATTTCCCATATTCCTTTGAGATTGATTAACATACAAAAATAACCAAATGTAAGCTTTTCTTGTAGACAGTAGCCTTCTCAACTGGGTAGTTGAGTTGTTTAGGAACCTTTGAAGATTCTGACATAACATGCAGCCTAAAAACATATTTGAATGTTCTTGCATGTAAGTTTGCACTGAGAGGAAAAAGACACCAAGTTGTGGATAATAAATGAGGTAAACAATCTTTGACTCATTAGGTAACATTATTTTACCAAGTCACAGGTTTCAAATAAAAATGCCTTCTTTAAAAAATAGTACATTGTATATTATTAATCCAGTGTGAGCAAGCCGATCCTTGAAGCTAGCAGCTTTTAAGCTAACGTTAGCCCCTTTGTCTTTTTCTTTTATGGTTTTTGTAAGCATTGTATTTGTCTTACCACATCTGTCAAGCCTTTGAAATCATGGAACCATTAACAAAAAAACAAAAAAAACTGAAATGATCCACATAACAGACAAAAAACCAAGGGCTTTAAAAGTTTGACCTGCCATGTTTCGCATTTGAAACAGCATCGCATTCACATAAACATAACAATATTTCCCAAAAAATGTTAACCAAATAATCCAAAGAGTGCAGAATTGTTTAGCATCAAAGCAACTTTCTGTGCATTGTATGTACCTGTGGCCCCGGGATCAATGTTGGAGAGGTTCTGGTAGCACTGCTGTTTGATTTCATAAAGGATGTACATCTGCTCGTGTGCAGTGAGAGGGACATCGAACCCCGTCTGTGGAGCAAAACAAACAAGATAATTTCTGTCACTGTCTTCGTATGCAAATTATAATCTGCCTTATTTATTTCGGTAGCCATCTGCTGGGTGCGAGGTCAACTTTTTTGGCAAGCACGTACAGGGAAGATGTGAAAACGTTTACAAGTGAAAACAGTAGAGAGAAACAAAATGTGATCATATCCAAGGTTGTTTTAATATAACACTTTTGTTATGTTCATGAGAGATTATTTTTGCATCTGTTTATTTCTTCTCATCTAATGTGTATAATATAATGTATTTTACATCAAGTTGTGTTGGTAACACTGCTAGATACACAGCTAAAGCCTCAAATAATTGATCTAAAGACTTAAGCCCTTCTTATAACAAACTAACATCATTACTTCAACTTTTAAATCCGTTCACATACAGTATCCACTCACATTTTTTCCTGAGGATTGTTCCTGACTATTTCCTGGTAATGTAGTATTTTTTTCTTTTTCTTAAAGAAACATGATTTCTAACAGTAGAAGACTGAAGTCAAAGGTTACTGGACTTGCTGCTCAATTCCCTGATTGTTTCCGTTCAATCATGGGTTGGTGGGGGCGTCTGCACCATGTAACTATGTTTTTGTCAGAGTTTAGAGTCATTACTGGGGCTATTTGGTTAGTCACATCATTTGAACATTTTATTTCCCATGACAGTGCCTGAGGCATCTGTGCCAAAAACGACTCAATCTGTCAAACATATGACAGACGAATTGAAGAGGAGCCTTGAGACACTGTTTTGTGCAAGTTCCCATTCCCAAGAAGAGTATACTGGGAGAGTCTGTGCTGCTGTACTGTATGTGAAACAGTGGTTCTGTAGGAGCATTAAAACCCATTTAAACATCCCAATTTGTAACTTTGGTGAATTATAATATATGATTTACCAGCTGAAAACCCATATGCAAAAGAGGGACGATTCGAGAAGAGTGAATTCCCAAAAAGTTGGTCAAATGTAAACATCCTTATTTAGTCAATTACATCATAACATTGTAGGCTGAACCTTCAAGCCTCATTTAAACGAGTTATTTAACGGTGCAAAGAGAACATTCAAGGTGAAGTCTAACTAAAGGGCTCTAATGCTAGAAACATGTGGGCAGGACTAAGAAAAATAACAGATGATAAAAGGACTACTAACGATGCTGAGGAATTGTCTGCATCTAAGATAAACTGTACTCCTTTTATTAACGTTTTCAGAGCTCCCAGGCTGTGGAGGTATAGAAGGCCTAGGACCTCTGCCTTCTGGATTTAAACAAGGCAGATGTGCCCGGCTGTGCTCTCACTATGTGTGCAGTTTGGCTGGCAGAGATCTTCACAGACATTTTCAAACGGTCAGTGCTCCAGTCTGTAGTTCCTAAAAAAATAGTCCACTGTTGTTTCTGTAACCAAAAAAACTAAAACCATATGCCTCAACTAATGCCCAGTTGCACTCACTTCCATCATCATGAGGTGCTTTGAGTGGTTGGTCAAAATCTTCATCAACTCCTCCCTCCCTTATTCTCTGGACCGCCTTCAGTTATTCTACAGAGCAAACAGGTCCACAGACTACGTGATTGCCCTCTCCCATCTGGTTCAGTGGAACACTTAATGTATGTGAGAATGCTTTTCATTGACTACAGTTCAGCATTCAACAACATTGTACCCTTCAGGCCTATTATGCCCCTTTCACACCAACGTGGTTCCAGGGCCGCTTCGGAGCTTGAGCCTGATAAGCACCGTTTTTTCCTGTTCACACCGCAGAGGAGCCGGCTCTTTTTCCTTACCAAGCTCTAAAAAATGGTCCGTCTAGAAGCAAGAACCGCATACGTCACGCTTACGTCGGAGGCGGGATTAATCTGATCAACAACAACAAAATGCCGCAAATTCTGTTCAGCAACACACAAAACTACAAACCAGGATATATGCCAGTAAATGTAAGCAGCAGTGGACCGCTGAAGAAACAAATTACCTCCTCAGGCTTTGGTCAACGCAAAAGGTACAGAGGAAGTTGGACGGCACAATGCGGTCCAAAGCTATTTTCCAGCAGCTGCAGCGGCAGTTGGCCACTGCTGGATACCACCGGACTCTGGAGCAAATAAGCAACAGGCTAAAAAAACTCAAGAAAGACTACCGGGATCATTGTTGTTGTTGTCGATATGAGGGATTTCCGCGAGGTTTGGCTTTATGAAGCAGGCACGTTAACGGTTACGTCATGACGCAAACAATGACGCAGCACCACTCGGGCTCTGGGCGGTGTGAACAAAACCGGGGCTGAAAAGAAAAACCGGTTCCGAACCAGAAGAGCGCAAGCACGGAGCTAGAACGGGAGCTGCGTTGGTGTGAAAGGGGCATTATTAAGCTCAGGGACCTTGGGCTCTCTTCCTAACAGGCAGTTCGGGTGGGAAACATCACATCCTTCCACCTCCCCCTCAACACTGGAGCCCCTCAGGGCTGCGTGCTTAGCCCTCTCATCTACTCCCTTTTCACACACCAATGCGTGCACTGACGTACACAACTCCAGCACCATTGTTTGGTGAAGACACACCTGTCAGAGCCCTGGCATCTCGCTGCCAGGAAAACAAACTTCCATCTAAACATCAGCAAAAATAAGATGGTTGTGGATTACAGGAAGCAACACAGAGAGGGACACGCCCCCATCAACATCAATGGAATACGTTGAAGAGAGTCAGCAGCTTCAGGTTTCTCGAGGTTCACTTCACTGAGGACCTTACATTGACCCATCGCAAAAACACTATCACCAAAGACAGCTTGACAGCGGCTCTTCTTCCTCCACAGGTTGCAGAGGTTCAACATGAACTCAAGTATCCTAACCAGCTGCTACACGGCCTGGTACAGCAGTTGCACCGCCCTCAACCATAAGACTCTAGAGAGGGTGGTGAAAACTGCACAGCACATCACCAGGACTGAGCTACCATCTACAGTATAGAGGACCTTTTTCACTCAGCATCTCAGGAAGAAGGCCCACAGGGTTATTAAAGGCCCACATCGCCACAGCAACACACACTTCTGTCTGCAATCATCTGGAAGAAGAAACAGCACGCAAAAGCCAACAGACTCAGGGACAGTTTTAACCAACAGGCTATCAGACTGTTGAACTCCTGAGCTCTCTGAAATGCCTTCACATTTTGTGCATTCATAATACACTCTTCATTTGTACATAATGTGTATAGTCCTCATTTCCATTGTATTATTACAGTATACAGTATTTATTCTCCTCTACCTTATTTATTTTCCATTCTGTTTTATCTTATACTATTGTATACTACTATTTGTAGATATGTTTTTATTCTTGCACTGACTTGAACCACTTCATCTATACTATTATGATTCTATGTTCCTGCCTGTTGGCGTCAGCTGATAGAGGTGTTATGATTCTATGTTCCTGCCTGTTGGTGTCTGCTGATAGAGGTGTTATGATTTTATCTTGTTATGCAGCATGTTGATGATGCTCTCTGAACTAGCTAAATACAGGGGTCTGGGGGAGAGTTCTTCAGATATGACGTGGCAACTCTACCGTGCAGTCAGATCGTGGCTGCTGTGACTTGTGATGTGAATTCTCCGGCCGAAGCTCCAAATAAACCATCAGTGTTTGACATCAAAGCTCCTGCTCTTCCCGTGTCTCTTTCCTGAGTCGGTGACTCCCACTGCATTGCTACATAGAAGTTTCCCTTACACCTTTCATATTCAGTATTTTCAGTTTTGCGTTGTTGGAAGAGGCTGAGACTCAAGATTGTGATTGCCATAACTATGTTGTAGCTATTGTGCATATGACAAATAAAGCCTTTGAATCCTTTAAAGTAGAATAATGTATTTCAAGGAAATACATGCCTGTAAAATGCTTATACTCAACATGTGATGACCCTACACATACAACTATACAGTATATATACTATATATAGCACTGACGCTTTTATCTGAAGGACCTAGCTGTAAGAGGTTACATGTTTTCCAAATCAAAAGTAGGTTTAAAGTCGATAAAACTTGCTTTAAAGTGACCATACTATTTTTAAATTACAGGTAAAAATATTGTAATATAATAAATGTTTTTTTGATCCGTTTGCTGTGTGTGAACATTATAACTGCATCCATAACAAATACGTTTTTCAGAGCAGTGGTAAGGAAATAACAGACTATCAATTCTGCAATTGACTAATCAGAAAGGAGTATTTAACAATTCAGATTTTTCCTTTAAGGATATCCTGAAAAACTTAAAATGTGAAATACCCTTGGACTGGATTGGCGGGATACAAAGCTTATTATCTAAAGAAGCCAATTAGTCCCTAAAGATTTGTTTTATAGTAACTGTACAATATGTTCATTCATTTTATTATCTGGTTTCCAAATCACACTTGCAAAATTACAATAGCATAAAAAAAGCAATACGTCTTATTGTGGCAACCCTGTACTGTCAGGACAATTAACTCGAGTGAACAAACAAGGTATTTTTGTATTGAGAACCACATTAAGACACAGATTTAGTCTTGTGTCTTATTTTTTTTTTTAAATAAGACTATTGGCCAAGACCAAGTCGTTTTTATCTTTTAAAGACCTAGAAAGGGTTATTAATGTCTTTGTTACCTCGAGACTGGGCTATTGCAACGCTCTGTATGTGGGTATGGACCAGGCCTCAATTAAACGCCTGCAGCTAGTCCAAAACACAGCTGCACGTCTTCTGACTGGCCACAAAAAGCGTGACCACATCACCCCAATTTCAATTTGGTTCCGAATTTAATTTTAAATCCTATTATTTATTTTCAAAGCCCCAAATGGGCTGGCTCCGGCCTATATAGCCAAACTCCTCCATCGCTACACCCCAGCCAGAGCTTTAAGGTCTGCTGACCAGCTGTTGCTGATAGTGCCCAAGACCAGGCTCAAAACCAGAGGGGGCCGAGCCTTCGCAGCAGCTGGCCCTAGGCTCTGGAATACTCTGCCCTTCCATGTGTTGTACGTAGACGGCTCTGCTAAAGATTATTCCCTCGTTTAGGTTTTATGTTCTGTGATTAGATAGGTGCCTGTTTTATTTTGATAGTCTTGTCTACTCTCATGTGTCTAAAGTATGTTTCCTGCCTTGTCTGTTTTCCCGCTGTTGTGATTGTCTAAATTGTCTTCACCTGGTGTTGTCTGTCTAGTATTAGCAGACCAATCAGGCATACTGATTGTCTCACCATAGTTAAGAAATCTCAGAATCATGGTCATCACAAGGTTAGAGGCTGAATATTTTTAAAGATATAGAAGTTTGCTGATTATAAATGGCCACGCTTGTATTTTTCAATAGGAAGGAAGAAAGTTAAAACATCTTCCGTCGTAGACTGAAAACCCACCTGTTTCAACAACGCCTTGATCAGTAGGAACATTCTCTCTTATGTATCCAATACAATTATATTTACGATGATTTGGCTTATTCATAGCTATTGTGCCTGCAGGATTCTTGCTTTTGTTTTTGTTTATTTCTCTATGGTTCAATGCACTTGTTGTAAGTTACTCCGGAACACAATTACTATAATATAATATTTACAAAAACAGCCGCAGATGTTCAGCTAAGCTCTATCTTTGCCTGACCGTTTTGTAGCCCACTCCTAACCATACGTGAGACAAATGCACAGCTCAGCCTCTGGAATCAAAGGCTTGTGATCTGTACGCCCACCACCTTCCAAACCTAACTCCCTGTGGCTCATGTGCAGCACAAGAGCGCAGCACTTCATCAACTTGGAGGAAAAAATAAGGTAAATGTTAAACAGAGAGAAAGATGAGAAGTATAAGCGCAAACAATCAGTTTTAATTTCAGAGATGAAAGGCAAGCTGTGGTTTCCTTACAGTAATCAATGGTTGGTAATCACAGGCAACAATGCCGCATGTCTCATTTAAGCAGCAATTCATTCGTTTTCCACACATATTGATCTGGCTGTTTAAATCACCCTCCAAGTCAATATCGGAAAGCTACAGAAATGATGAAGGGTCCACTTCGTTTGAACTTTTTACTTATAATAAAGAGACAGTGTCCAATTGGGTCGACATATTTCAGGCAATGATTGCTGTGACACTTCTTCCGGGAAAATCTTGGCACTTTCTTCGTAAAGAACCTTCTAGCTCTGGTTTGTAATTGATGATGCACAGTAGGTTTTGTTACGTCCTGATCCAACCTTAAACATGTACCACACTATCGAAATAAGTCAACAAAACCAACAAGTCCTTGAGGCTTTTGTCTTATTAAACATGACTTTATAATGGGAAGCCAAAAAACCTGGTAGCTCCGGTTTGTAATCTAAAATTGCACATTGAGTCTTAAAAATAAAAGTTCCACTACTCGACACAGCCAGTCAATGAATAGTACATTTCACACATTGACAAAACAACAACCATTTTGCATGCTACACTCTTCTCTGAAGAAACTGGATTATTCATAGGTCAATGACTAATTAAGTCTGACTCAGTTGCCAACACTTTAATCACCCACAAGCCTCGCAGAATGAGAAATATTGTCAGATGATGATTATTTAACTCCCTCAAATTAGGGAGGAGTCTATTAGTTATAAACGCAGAAAGACTTCCTGCAGTGCTGGTGTTGCAGAGATTTGTGTGACCATCTATAAAAAGATACCCGCCTGATACAGAGTTGCAAATACACTAAACACTGTGGAAAAAAAGACAGTTTATGACTCATACTGGTCCCTGGCTGACCGCTTATGTATATGTGTTTGTATCTGTAAGGGTATTTGTAAGGGAAACCCCTCAGCAACACAGTTATATTGAGGGAAGATCAATTAAAATTATCGGTGTATTATCAGAGGTAAAGCGCGTTCCTGCATTTTATGGCAATAAATCCAGTGCAGCTTTTATGCCGGTGAATTTCAAAAATAATATTAGGCTAACATTTGTATTCATCTTTGATTAACAAGCTGAAGATGGGATTATTATAAGGCAATACATATGAATTTAGTTCTAAAAAAACATACTTTTATTATAGGGTGAAAGCATTTTTGCTGAAAACAAAGGATACATAATTACCTGTGCGTCAACTGAGGTCCAGCACAAGAAAAAGTTTAGGACTAATATCCACACGAACAAATGCATCGTTCTTCTTTCTGCTTTCATCTCCTGTAGTGTAAACATGTATACACCATACAGCTTATGCTCGATATCTCCTCTGTTCATCATTGAGAAGCAGCTTCACGTAAAGTTGTATCGCAAGTTGTGGTCCAAAAGTGAGCTTCCCAAACGCATATTAAGAATAGACTTCACCAAAGCAAACATTCCGAGTATTTCTCCAATAGTATAAACTCAACAAGCGTCTGTTAAATGGTCATCGTGACATCGCTGCCCCCGCAGAGGAAGAGTTTCGGACGCACGCTGGCACTGGAGATTTCCGCTGGTTTTGGACATGGATTGCGAGGGGAGAATCCTTATTAAAGTGAGCCCCCCGTCCATTTTCGGCCAAATGCATTGATGGAATTTATCATTTCTGTTCTGAATTCCTTATGTGTGAGAAATCCTCTCAGCCTGCTCTGCCACACCACACAGTTGGAAAGCGCACCCTGCCTCCATGTGTCGTAGTATTACGCCAGCATGTGACCATTGTGGTTATTGTCTTCTCTTGCATTTATTCACCTCACGGGCTGCTGGGGACGGGGGCAATCACCGGTGCGTGCGTCACTTTTGACTGCATTGTTATTGACCCACAGACATTATGCTCTAAAATATATGGTAAAATGTGTATTAATATTTATATTTATTTATCTGACCAATTACAATGTAGGCCTACAACTGTTAAATATTGTCTATAGTGACTTATCATTGGAATGATGGGTTATAATAGAATATCGTTATTACTTGGGGGGGAGTGGTGCAGTAAACATTTAATGAGATTAGTTGTAAAGATGAATGGAGTAGCTAACTTTGTCTGTTTCTCTTTGTTACAGAGCAGGTATCATGTACACTGGGTTTTTAGAGCCTTTATGCTAAAAAAGCGTTTAAGACAAAAACGAGGCGGTGAAAGTTCATTATCTGCTGAGAAAAAATTATATTTATTATCAGAATATCAGAATAAAAAAAACCACTATTAACCAGAACTATGTGTCATTATCTTATTGAAGACCAACCAAAGAAAAAGTTCAAGACTTATTCCACAATATCTTAAAATAATACTGTATATAATTGATCATTAGAATTATTGTAGAATAAGGACCAATAGTAACCACCATCAGGTTTGTGATTCAATTCAAACACATGCTTCACTCAGCCATGGTATTTTTCTGTAAAACTGTGTTTCATTTGCTATTTCTGAAGAAGACGATGTCTCATTTGCAACAAGTCCTCCAACTCATACGACCAAATGGGTCGATTGTTTAAGCCCTTATTACGACCAAATATGTCGTTTGTTCAAGCGCTTAATACGACCTATAATTACGTTTTAAAGTTGTCGGCCTCTAGTGCTCCTGTTGAATGCAAACGTTACAGATGGTCGTTTATTCACAAATAACCCTCTCTGTAAAATCCTAAATTGTAGGATAGTTTGGCCATTAAAACGCTTTATGATTAGATTTCTAGCGAGAAGTATATATTGTACTTTTAGAATCCACGTCCAGTCGTTATGTAGGATCTATAGTTTGATAGATATTACGAAGATGATTTGAGGTTTCGTCAGGAGAACGTGTGTATGCGGCAAGCTTCCATGTAAAGTTACGGGTTGAAAACAGTATTTCCAGTCTCGACGTTTTCATAATAAAACCAATGATCAAATGATTTAACAGTGATATCTGCAGTACTCATCCACTAAAAAACATCAGTTTATCCTAGTTAATTATACGACATTAATTGGTTTAAATAGTGTACAATGCTTTTGTGTTTTTCCCATAGGGTTTTCTCTTTCGATTCTGAGAGACACATTTCTTTTTTCAGAGGTTTTGATAGGCTAAAATCACGCCGCAATGCACGTTGGGATATGGTGTTTATGTGATATGAAATCGGAAAACATTTTTTTTTTTTTAAATAATACTTTATTCCGAGTGTTCTTGCTTTTCTCTTTGAAAGTCATCACATAACGGCATTGTAATACACGGTTCGGCTGCATTAAATATTACATATCTGCCGTAGATATGTATTTATAGAGCCCTGATCAGAAGACCTTTTGACAAACTGGAAGAGATGCCGCCAAAACTGAATACGTGACGTGAACCATAAAATATCAACAATTAAACAACATCTTCCATTTATTTTCACACAATACGTCTCCTTGCAGTATCAACACTAATTCGGCTGACTTTTATATTTGATCCAATAAGTAGATAGTCTGTATTTACACCATAACGGTGCACAGCTGATAGAAAGGGATTTTTTTGTAGTTTTTAAAGATATTACTGATTTTCTGAACTACCTTTCCAACTCCTCATGCAGTTGACTGTTATAGGTCTATAAAAGTTGATGGTACAATGCATAAGCTTCACATTGAGAGACTGAAACTGTATTTTCCTTTACCGTTCTGTTTTAATTTCACAATAAAGTGAATAGTCATATTATGTTTGATATTATGTTTTATTAACTAGACCACTGGTCTAAACCGTACCTCCTAGTGGTTAAAGCACGTTATTGAATTTAGTTGTTGAATAAGTTTAATTTTTATGAAAACATTTAAATATTAAGAGTAGCCTACATACAAAATAGGGGTCAATGATAGAAATATAGAATTGAAAATATCAAGAAGATACTGTAGTGATCTCTACAATAAAACAATTTAGTGCAGGACGTCCAAAGATATTAACAGGAGGATGTGCAAAACAGACAAACTGATAAGGCTGAATTTTACTCAGGTGTAACAAAAGTCTGATTTAAGGGTTGTTTATATTTCACATCATTAATCAGAATCTGCAAAGTAACAAAAATAAATGTAGTAGAGTAAAAATACCAGGTTGACCTCTGAATTGTAGTGGAGTAGAACAAAGTAGTACATGCTGCTGTAACAAAAACATTTCCCAACTTGGGATCAATAAAGTATCTTATCTTAAGATGATCGATGGCTACTGCCATATTTGCTAAATGTGCATCTGAACCTTGACAAGTGCATGTTTCAGGCTTATCCATTAACAACAGGAGGGGTCACAGACATAAGACCAGCTGTTAAATAAAGATCTTCTGACCTTAGCTGTCATGTGGGTATATTAATGCTGCCCATTATGGGCACAAGCCATTTTCACCCATGTATTAATTATGTTTTAAATTTGATAACACCAATGTGTTTCGTATCCCCTAAACCTCCAGGGATGTATACAGTTTAATACTGGCAACTTCTAATTGTGGGAAATACGAAAACGTCTTATAAAACTACAATTCCCAGTAGAGACGTGCCATAGAACATATTGCGAAACACACAATAGCCAGCATGTGTAATTCTGGGGGGGGGGGGGGGGCTGGGCTGGACCCGTCCAAGTCCAGTTTTGGATAGTCTGGCGTGGTTCCATTCCATTTCAAAGAGCTGTTTGACATTCGGCGTAACCTTGTCGCACTGCCACTCCAACATCCAATCACAGAGCTTGAGGGCTAATCACGGGGTTTGTAAAGCAAGGCAGATGTTGTAGTCCCAAACGATAGCTAGGGATTCTGGGTAGTGTAGTGTCTTCGGAAACTCTGTAGTGTCTAAACTCCGAAAAAACTATTTGTTTCTCCGAATCGAAGGTTAAAAACACAAAAGCATTGTACACAATTTAAACCAATCAATATTGTGTAATTAACAAGGATAAACTGATGTTTTTTAGTGGATGAGTAAAGGAGATCATTTGACAGTGTGGGGAATACTTCCGGTTTTATTATGAAAACTTCGACACCGGAAATACTGTTTTCACCCATGCTAACTTTACATGGAAGCTGCCCCATATACAGTACACGTTCTCCTGGCGAGACCTCAAATTATCTTCGTATATCTATCAAACTGTAGATCCTACACATCCACTGGACGTAGATTATAAAAGTACAATATACACTTCTCGCTAGAAATCTAATAAAAAAGCATTTTAATGGCCAAACTATTCCACAATTTAGGATTTTCCAGAGGGTAATTTGTGAATAAACGACCCTCCGGAGCGTTTGCAATCGACAGGAGCATGTTGTTTCTTACACGGCCACTAGAGGTGCTACACTTTAAAACGTGACTCTGGGTCGTATTTAGCTGCTGAACAATCGACCTATATGGTCGTTTTTTGTAGGAGGACAGGCTGCTCATTAAATGTTCAAACGAGAAACAGGGGCCACAGAGTTCTAATGAATGACGTGATAACTATTATGCTTAATAGACGGAGACACACCAAGATAATGATTAACAGCCAGAATCGCTCAAGGCTTTGATCCAATCATTCCTAACATGTCATTCAATTTGCAGTTTATTAGCATCCTAACCATTCCTGTTGAGCTTATAGTCACCTTTTTTGTTTGGAATTATTTGATTATGTTTTGCTCACTTGCTCTGTTTTATATTTTAGCATTATACTCAAACTCTTGGTGTACCAGCATGATGCAAAAAGCCATTACAAATCTGTCAGTGCAGTTGCAGTCATTTTCGGACTCTCAGTTATCTTTTTCTTTAGCCCTTGTGAATTTCTCCACTGTGAGACTAATACAGGAATTCTGATCATTAATTCTCCTTCACTTTTTTCTTTTGACCTAACAAAGTCTCCGATAAAGGTCAAAAGAAAAGTGATTAGCAAGATACAAAGGACATATTTGTTGCGAGTGTTAGACTTGGGTTGAGGTTGAATAGTCTTTGCTTTTGTTGAGTTAAATGACCAAAATAAGTAAGTAAGTGACAGCCATGACAGGGCTGTAGATTTATCTAAATGATCAAATGTTCCCTTATGTCCTTTAAGATATGATACACTGGATCATCCTTTAAGAAAGGAAAGGGAATGCAATATCGTCCCACAATTCCTTGCAGTGCCAACATTTCGAGTGATTCAGTGGCTCACAGAAACAGCCAATAGTGACCGACAAACACAGATCATGTACACTGCTTATTTAAGTATTAAATAATAAAGTGCTTTTATTTCACTGTGTTTAATAAGTTGTCTTGCATTTTTAATGTTTCAAATTTGATATACATAGTATTAGATTTTTAGGCCTAATAAGTTATGCATATATTGCATGAAGTATAATTTGTTTTTATACAATCATTCGAAGTGAGATTCAAGTCGTTTGAAACAAGTGGACAGAGGGGTGAAAGCGGTGAAAGTGACCACAAGCAACAATGTTTTACGTTAGAGACATTTCTTTTTTACTTTCATTTTTTTTTAATGTTACAACCTTGTCATAGAAGTGTTTTACTGTTGCCCATGTTTATATAGCCCGCATAAAACAACAAAAGCGCATGATATGTACGTAGATGCGCTTTAAGTAGTCCAAGTACAGAACATTTTAGTTTCGGTATGGCCTTCAGATTTTCTTAGCACTGTGGTCATCATTTCCTTGATTAATTTCCCCTCACATCTTTCCTAAACCCCATCACAATTTTCC